GGAAAATGAAGCTTTCACAAACTTCACATCAAAACTAAAATAGTAGTAACCACATGGTAAAACTGCAGATGCATGTGATAAATTACATTTTTCAGTCTTACACCATTCATATCTGAAATTTGCCCATAAATCCACCTCATTCGGGACTTACTTAATGTTGCTCCTAAAGCTGCTCTGGAGCTAGAGATTCAGTTTACCCAAGAACCGGCATGGGTAGAGAAAGAAAACATTTCCTTCCTTCCCTACAAAACGTGCAATTTCCTTGTCAAATTTACACTAGCTTGAATCTCGGGAAGGGGAAATTTCCCTCCATGATCAGTGCATATTTCGACTTCTGATACTTTGCAAACATGAGGTGATAACAAGCTAGAAAGCAGATCTGGAGAGAGAAGATTCCCCAAATACCTTACGTAATACACAGCGCTACAGTCAAATCTGCGTATGCACTCATGCTCGATGTGTATGTGCATACAGTTTCTACTTCTGCAAAATTTAATGTAGGTACATTTGAAGTTTTTCTGCTTTGCAAGGTCTTACTAGTTTTTCACATATTTTATATTACAAGAAGTTGGTGAAGCTTTGCTTTCAACAGGTGCCCTTCAGTGGGCCAACGTAAATATAATTATCCTTGGTTTTCCAGTTTTTTGCTAGTAAAAGTACCAAGACTACTGTAAAATACTGGCTGAATAAAAATAGAGATGGCTGGTAGAAGAGCATGAATAGAATAATTAACAGTAAAAGTGTTTGGATTTTGACCATACTAGTAATGAATGAATGGGACTAAGGAAACCCAACAGGCTGTTCCCTACATGTAATCTCACCAGAAACAGAACAGGGGGAATGTGCGCTGAAATCATAATTTCTTTGCAGTCCCATTTTTCCATATTTTTAGAACACATTTGTTGTAGTTTGGCAGAAAACATACTAGATACTTGGACTGGATGATCACCAGAGGTCCCTTCCAACCTCAACTATTCTGTATTTCTGTGATACAATAATCACTACGAGTAAAATAGGGCAATTTTCAGTAAGGTACCATATAGTGGGAAAACCTGGAATTCCACCCCAAAAGATACAGGAATATGCTGAAAACAAGCATTCCTCTTTGCCTTACACATCCCTAAGAAAAGCTGCCACCCTCGCTGTCCTGCAGTGACTCCACCAAGAGAATACATTAACATTTCTTCATCTACACCAGTCTTACTCGCCGAGTGCTTGGCACAAGCCAGGTAACATGAGACACCACCATTTGGCTCCCTGGCGCTGCCATCCTTATTGCAAGGCTCTGAAGGCCCCAGGAGTTAAACAGCTGGTCCTCGCCTTTTCTTTTTTTTTTTTTCCTTTTTTTTTTTTTTTTTAAGCATTTACTATAGCAGGGAGGCAGCAGACTGCTTATATTCCCTTTTTCTCGGACTCTCTTCGAAGTGTGAATGAGCATGTGTGTATGTTGAAGTGATAACATAAGGCTAAGCCACATTTGGAGTAAATATTACTTTAAATTACCCCATGTCATCCTGGAATGTAAAAGTGCATTTGTGCAAAACTAGCTGCCCAAAAAGGGAAGCAGAGCTGTAAACCATTCTGCCTACAAGTTGAGCATGTCAGCAGGACATGCTGACATATCACTGTATAAGGGTATACATATCACTGTATAAGGGTATGTTTACAGGTCACTTAAGCCAGCATCTATGCTGAAACCCATGCCCTAAATCAACGACAACAGCCTTGCCTGTATGGGGCCTTTACATCGTGGCAGGAAACCAGCTGAGGCCCTGTGGTCAGGGAATGAGATCGCAGCGGAAATTTGAGCCTTTTCGTCTATAGAGTGTGGGTGGGGGCAAGGAGATCAAGGAGCATTACTGCTAGTGACCACGGGAGCACTGCGGTCCATTTTAGTGTGAACCTGTTGGCTTCAGCCACTTTCAAGGCGGATTTAAACCCATCTCGTTCGTTCACTCACCAGTGACGGCCAAGAGGTTGTCAAAACTCAGCTCCTGACCTCCCTTTGGCCGAGAGCCAGTGGACTACGCAAGTGCTTTTTACCTGTTTTGCTGCAAAATCAAGCAGGCAAAGAAGCTATATAAAATACTCTGCTTCTGAACGCACAGCAAGGGCATTCACACTCAGGAACTCCCGCGACAGTCACACGCATGCCTATGTACCGAGAGCAGTAAATGCACATGAGTAATTATCTGTAGGGCTGATGTGATGGGTAAAGCCGTAAGTGTACGGAAGTAAAAAGTTAAGGTACCTAATGGTACATAGTTTTTTTGCTAAACAGAGCTGGGCCACACGGACAGGGCTCGTGGCATCCCTAGAAGAGGTGATGCTACTGTAAGCCTCCGGCAAGGCATTTGACCTCTTCCAGGTTTTGGGAAGAGACAGTCTCACTGGACTTAGTAATTGGCTCGCTTTGCAGGGTCCTTAATTTTGGTTGGGAAGGCTACCGTGATGCAGGTAAGAGAAACTGTAAGCTTGGAAGTTGTGACTTCCAGTGACATTAATATACCCTGTGAGTTTCACTGCAGAGAAGGGAACTTGCAGGGACAGAAGACTTATTGCTGCATCTGTTTGCTTCAGGTAAGTGTGAGTTTGGAAGTGAAGTTCCACTCTTGGGGGTAGGAGGGGAATACCTCCAAGATAAACAGAAGGACAACCCCCAGAAATGGCAAGGCTCAGTCCCTTGGGTGAAGTACACACAAAAATCACAGAAAGGCAGTGCAGAGGGGCAGCATGAGATTGTAACTCTTTAGTCTTCATACATAAACCACCATCAAAATAATGAAGCTCAAGAACAAGGAGCCCCTTTGAGGGGGGGGGAAAAAAATAAATCACTGAACTGGAATCTAAAATGCTAGGCTCTTCCGTTCAACACACCTATACGCCAGCATCCCCTCCATCAGATGCCCTGCATGCCATACCAGGCTGAATTTGACCATGTGTTTGTAGCTAAGCTATGAAAGTCATTTGTCAAGTCCCTGTAGTTTTTGGCAAGTTGTCCTGTGCTATATGTGTGGTCTGCTTTACTAAAACTGGCACGTAGAGCTTTGCACTGGGTACGGCTATATGATCCAGAGGCAACACAGTTGATGTTTTCAGTGCTCGGATTTTTAGTGCTGTGTAATAATGAATGGAGACACAGAGGACTCAAGTCGAACATGTTTCGGCACAGTTGCTAGGATTAAAGCCTCCTGAAGGCTGTTGGAACGTGCTATAAATATGTATCTGAGCTCCACGCCAACTGTGTAAACTCAGAAGCTGCCTGCTTCATTCAGAGAGTTTATACCAATGAGAGCTGCAATTAGAATCTGGAACCTGTTAAATTAGAGGCAAATCAGGGGCTGGTAACAGTCACATTTTCCTTATGAAAAGGGATGTAGAAGATGCTGGGACAACACAGGGACAGATGACAGATAGGAAATCATTTCTTGAGTGTTTTGAAAGGAAGCACATAATCCAGAGTTATGGGCCTTCATTAATCAGGCGCAGGAATCATGAGGTACCAAATCTCGCAACAGCCTGGAGGACTTCTGAGTCATTTATAAGCTCTTTCTAATTGAATCCTTAACATGACTCTTCACCAAACTCTAGATCCCAACTCAAATTTATCAGCTTCTTGGCCTAGGATCAGTTGCCTAGTGGCTCTGACTCAAGCTGATTCATGACAAAAGATAAATCTTTCTACTCCTAAAAAAAAGCTGCCGAGAAATCCTTTAACTCCTTCCTCCGCATTGTGCAATCTTGGGCCGGTAGTTTTTGCAGTGAGGTCAGTCCCATTTCTCCATCTCCTGAACCCACATCCTTCTTCCCTGCCGTGCAGGTTGCTATGAGCAGTCCTGCCACCATATTTTTTAATACAGCAAACTGCAGGAAGGAGGCAGAACTGTCTGAAAGGGGCTTTATTAAAGCTTCCAGTATGCAACTTGAAGATGGAAAGGTTTGTTGTTTTAACAGAATTAGCAGGCTGAAATACAAGGAAAAGCCAGAATCTCCCTCAAGGTTGCAGGACCATCTCATCTCCATTAGGAACTTCAGTTAACAGGTACAACCTAACTTTTCCCATAGTGAAAAGAAGAACGTTGAAACTACCGTCACACGGAAAAGTGCTACGATTTGTCCCTCAGCAACATCGCAAAGCCAATTCTAGGCCCACAAGCTGACATCTTCGGTTCCCCACTAACCTCGCTGCCCACTGAGCTGGGTCCTTGGTGACTCTTTTCAGTGCATACGTAAGTTCTATAAGCTCAAATACCCCAAACCTCGACAGTCTGCCTATTTGGAGCCAGACTGACTCCTCAGGAGTGCCAAACTACTTCACTTTCAAATGAGGATGGCAGAAGACACAGGCACTCAGCACTCCTCACACTCCAACCACAAGCGTCTTTCCGATCTTCAGGCTCCAGAACATGAATCAAACCCCTCTGCACAATTCCTACACTGCGAAAGCAACATCCCAACAAAACTAGCAGCAGCTTCTCGTAGGTTACTTGGAACAGATTCATATTATAAATCTGCCCACTCACCCCGCCAGAAGATCATAATAGTGCCATCTAGGAAAGAATTATCCATAAAACGTAAAATATTTTTCCCACTTTGGCTTGGAGAAAGCAGCAAGCAAGATTAAAAAAAAAAAAGTTTTACAAGGTACATTCCACACTCCAGAATATGCTCCAATACAGTTCAGTTAGCACACGATCTCTCAGTAGAAATCTATTTATTTACAGATGATATATCGCAGTGGTTGTTTCCCACCCTCCCACTTGTGTGATATTTACATGCTAAACTCTAAACACTAGTTAATCTCGGCCCAGACTGTGAGATGCTCTGAGAAGGAATAACATCCTTTTCCCTTCTCTGTCTCATCTCAGACTGAGCGCAGCGAGTGGGATGGACCGTGTCAGGCTGGTCCATCACAGGGGACGGGACAGCATCATTCCTTCAGCCTAGGACTCGGGCACGATCCCCACGTCACGTGGCTGTGCCCCGCAAAACACACTCACCTAAGAGCTGCACGCCACGGGTGAGTCCGTAGACGTCAATCAAAGCCCAGAGGGGTTCTGCGGTCCTCACCCCGCTGAAGAACAGCATCGCAGCAGAGTCGTTCACCCGATAGAAAACCCGTCCCTTCTTGTCCACCCAGAACGCTATGATGTTTCCTTCGTTCGCAAACTCTTCTGGCAGAGCCTTGGCCCAGAAGCCACTTTGGGAAACCAAGTCGGGGCATGCATACTTTGGCAGGGTGTCAGGGTTAATCCTGGATGGATCCTTGGAAGTAAAGCCAAGTCGAAGAGCCCCACTCCAGCAACATTGCTTTTTAGTGATCTGCAAAGATAACAGCAGCAATAACAGCATTTGGCACTCAAATGTGTATTTGCACACTACAGGCTCTATGCCATCAAGCACTGAAGGCCACCGCAGAGCTCCAAGTGCTTAGTTCCCACGGAATGGGCCCACTAGAATCAAGAAACATTTTACCCACCAACAAAACACTGCTTCAGCTTTTTAAAATGCAAATAGCCATGCTGCACACTTAAGAGACAATGCACGTATTAAAAAATAAATAAATTACATCTGTGGGGAGAGATGACATGTAATTACAGCTGCATTATGACTCACTTCTATTTCTAGGGTAATTCCTTTGGGCCTAAGAACTGTCCTCTTGCAAAATGTGCCAAAAAGTGGTCACAAGATCTTATATCTACAGCACCTACAGCAGCAGAGCCCTCCCCACCATTGTGCTCAGACAGCAGGGTTTCTCACTACCTGAGGGAAAAGCACTGACTCCAGAATCACAGTCACCACCGTAGGGTTTTCTAAGTTTCCCAGCCAAGTAAGATAATCTTGCCCATTTAGCTTGTCAGATTGGATGAAGTCACAACCTTGCCGCAGATAACTTGTGTGCAGAAAAGTACAATTTAAGGTATTCAACTATATTAAATGAACCATTAGAAGACAATGGTAGATGTTGTCTCAAGTCTGGGAAAACCTACTCACTTCAACTGTGAGTGTAGTTTTTCAGGGATATGTTATGCACATCTATACTCCAACTGCCAGTATCCGGTACGTTAGTACAGATCCAGCCATGATCTGGGTCCAGGACAGCTACTGTGTGTCAATTGACACATAATAGGTGTTTTTGTTTATGCACTGAACCTGCAGCAAACATACGACTGAACTGTCCAAAGGCTGGAAAACCAACAGAAGATCACACCACTGCAACAAGAGTTGCCTAAAGAGAGATTTTTGAAAAGTTGAATTCATCTCTCATCACCGGAGTAAATTTTTTTCCAGCAAATTTGATGACAACCTCAATCAATCTAGAAGCCTCCTGAACTGGAAAATGAGTAACGTACCCAAAATCCAAATGGACAAGATCCCATGGCGAAAAAAAGCCTTATGGCCCAAATTTTTGGCCAGGTTGACCATTTTTCATTATAGGGAGGATCTAGAAAAGCAGGTAGTAAAACTTGCAGAAGCGTAACTAACCTCCAGTGGAGGAGGCCTCCCTGCTGTCCAGCTACAAAAGAAAACACGAGAGGCCATCATGCAGAGTAGGACAGACAATATAAAAGGCAGTCCGCGATGGCTCACATGTGCCTCTGAAGCCTTGAGAGGGAGGACAACACTTATAAACGGGACAGAGTATACAACAAAGTGCAGTCAGTACCGAGATTGGAAAAGTGAGATTTGTTAGGAGTCCAGCCCCAAGGGGAACAGCAGACTTTTGGCCACGGCGCAGACACAGGGTTGCCAGCTCCGACACCCACCACGACTGTCGGTCTCAGGCTGCAGTAAGGAGGGTTGCACAGGAGTCTGTCCTCCCAACTGAGATAGAATTGCCCATATGATAATTTTTCAGGCAAATGACATCTTCAGGCACCTCTGTGAGTGCTAGATGACAGCTATTTGGACTTGGAAACCTCTCTAGATGTGGAAAAATCCAAAGGTATGGCTACCTTAGAAGATGATCCAACTAAAGGGGAACGAGGCATTTTCCGAATGTGATCTAGGAGGAACTGCAGGAACGGACTTTGTCTACAAAAGCCTGGTTGCAGCTCCTCATGTCCCAGCCCGGGAGCCGGAAGCATAGGATTTTCTACAAGGGATTCTTTGAGACACAATTCTTTAGACTTTTGAACTCTCTTCTAATAACGTTTATAAATATTGCATTATTCCTTCACATGTTCCTCTCCAAGGCAAATCCAGAACGCATGCCCTTGAGGGCATAACAGTCTCACAACACAGACATTGTTCAAAGGCTAAGAGATTTCTGCTTTATAATTAAAGTATCAGAGAAAATACCTCAGGGCTTAAAAAAGAAAAGAAATAAAAAAGCTATCAATAGACAGATAGTTCTGCAGTTAAACAAGTGTTGCTCTTCATCCCTGTTCAACTTGGTGAACCATCTAAACTATTTACATCAAACAGCACGAAACACTTGAGAACTGACCTCAAGGTCCAAGGAATCATGGGAAGCTCTAGCTTATGGGATGGACACTGGGGTAGCACTAAAGAGGACTGAAGTAGATTTGCTGTTCCACAACTCTGGCCAGGATAGGATGGGCTCATGCATGTCCTCCAGTGAAAAGGGGGTAGATGGGGTGTGCATGTACCAAAATGGGCTATACACATGCACTCCAAGAGGAAGCCTGGATTATTTATTGTAGCAAATATACTGCAAACCCTAAAAGCTCTTGGGACCAAGATTAATATGGCCTCATTGCTATTCGTACAATTTACTCTTTTGCAGTCCCTTGCCAATACTTTACAGCAATCACAGCCTGCATGAAGTAAATATTCATACGGTAATCTAGGCTGCACATGTTCCATGTATTAATCAGCACCTATAAACAAACAGTTCTCAACACAATCTGACCACAGGCAAATTAATATCCAAATTAAAATTGAGTGTAATGCCTGCCAAGAATTAGACACAGCTGGACAAAGGATACACAGCTTTGCTAAAAAAGGCAATGGTTAATGATGGGCCAAATTCTCTATTCAGCAACCACTGCTAGTAGAAAAGCTTGGGAGGTCCACTGGGTACCAGAAGGGGAGGAATAGAGGCACCCCACATCCAAACTGGCAAACCATGGCTGATTCCACAGATTCAGACTCCTGCTCTTTACAGCCTTCTGTTACCTTTGACAAACTCTCACTCCACCTCTAGAAGTGCCCCGAATCACATGCAGGAAACCATGCTGTGACAAATATCTCTGAGGCAAAGAAAGAAGAACGTCTCCGGTACACCTCTGGCTGCTTGATGGGATTCCCAAAGCAGTGAAGAAATCTCAGAATAAACTCCAAATATAACAAAGAATAAACAGAATGAAACCTCATGACTTCTTTCCTCTAGTTTTCATAGGGAGTTCAGATGTTATAGAAGCTGCATGATTGGGTTCGTGGCTAGTCTTCAGACGGTGAGAAACATAAAAGGTTTAATGCGCCATTTTATACAGGCGCAAACAATAACAAGGCATTTGCAGGAGGGACTCAGCAGAAAAGCAAAGGCGTTTCTGTCCATCCCTAGAGTACAGGTTCTGCTGAAGCCTGTTGATCATTCACACGAGGCCTCCCCTTTAGATTCAGCAGAAGCTCTGCTTGTAAATCCCTTGTGCACAGATGAAAGATCTGCATGCATATTCTTCACATATGTTACGCAAGCTAAAATCCTAAAATATACAGTGATAAACAAGTGTGAATTTTCCCAAGTTAGTTGCATTGTTTCAGCATGAGGAAGAAATAATCCAGAACCTTGTCTACAACACCAAACCCACTCAAACCTTTGATGGTATTTTCAAAAACAAAATGCTGCTTTCATCACCTCCCAAATCATTTTTCCACAGCTGTTTGTCCAGACTGCTGGCCAATGTGGAAAAATACCCACTAGACTATGTGAGTCCTGCTGGGTTCCCAGCCTGGATGGAGGCAGTAAGAACTCCACAGGCAATGTAATTCAACCTGTAGGAGGGATTGTCCACCTATGGGTATGATCCTGAAATCACTGAAATCTCAGCGCATTTCCAAAAGAAGACACATTAGAGGTGCTGTGCTGGAACAAGTGTTCAGTCTCGTACAGCCAGCAGCCACGGGGCAGAGCACAGGCAGTTGACCTAAAGAGGCTGAGACAAGCTCCTGCCAACCTCACAGGTGGGACATACTGAGTAAGAGAGCCTGCAGCAAATAACACATATCTCAGTGGGGTTAATTCCCCACCTTTTGCTTCAGTTCACTTTTTCACTTTTTGTTTTAAATTCATCTTTCCTTCCATTTTCAGTCTGCACTCTTCCCTTGCATTCTTTCGAGTGCTTTTCCTTACCTCCACTTTCCCGCAGTCCCTCTGCATTGGGCGTTCTCCCGTCCATCTCCCCCATGACCCCATTAATGCCTTGCTATGCCCTGCTACCTCTCCCAGACTTTTTTTTCAGGAGGCTAAAGCCATTGGTAGCTTCATCTTCCTCCTTTCTTGTTCTAGTTGCTGGCTATAAGGGAGAGGCAGAGAAGGCTGGTACACCGCTGTAGCTCCTAGAGCTCTGAGGTCTTGAGTGATGGGCAACAGCAGGATCACTCAGACTCAGCTGCTACGTGTGGATAAACCTCCTGGAAAACTCTTCTGCATGAAGGAAGGATTTGCAGACAGATTTTTCATGCATGCCACAAACTAAAGACTGCTAAAAAAACCAAACAACAAAACAAAAAAAAAACACATTGTGCCAAGGAAAGGAATGGAATCAGCTCAGAGTGACAAAATGCAGTCCTGCAAACACTGGGGCATAAAGATTGGAAAACATCTCCGGATGAAATGCAAAGGGCTCTAAGCTCCTTTAAGGTGACAAGAGCCTAAAAGGTGGTCCAATTCCTAAGGAGAATGATGAATTTCTTCATTTGGAAGCAGCTCTCATCACACACCTCCATGTGTACATCCTGCCTTTAGAGGAGCTGAACTTCCCACAGAAGATGGAGCACAAGAGGGTACCAGCTCTATCCTCTTGGTTGTAACACAGACACAAAGGAAGTGAAATCAGTCTAGGTACGTGAGAAAAACATGAGGCCTGCAGTGTTCCTTCCTTTGACCTGAATGCAATCAGTGCACTCAACAAAATGATTCAACAAAAGCAGTCAAACTGCTGAAAAGATTCTTTTCTCAGAAGCCAACTGTGACCCCACTGACTGCTCCTTTCATCCTTTAAGCCTTTTATCTTCTGTGCCAAGCACATGAGCTGCTCACCTTCACCTTCAGGTCCTTTTCACCTACTTCTCTCTTATCTATTTGCTACAGAGAGGCTGACTCCCAGCTCCATGAGACCAGCCCTCATTGCTGTCTTGTTTACAGGAAGAAAACTCCTTGTCGGGGATTTGAACATCTTAACTAAGTCCTTATCCTCCTTCAGCCATCCCAGACCACTAAAACTCCTTTGCACAATGTATGCAAAGTCTATCGGACACGTTGGCAACTGAGGCTGCTGCCTCTCAGGCTGACCAACATGGCTCTCTTTCTTGCTGTTTTCCAACCAGTCTCAGTTTAATCTACTGTTACTTCTCTAATAGCTAGGTAAGCTTTTCTGAAGTACAGTTCACCCCTTTCTTCCCAGTTTCTACACGGGTTTGTACTGATGGCTCTAAGAACTATGGTGACGAAAGTAGAAGCACCGAAGATTGCAGATCTTTAAGGCCAAGATCCAACTGCCTTGTTTTTCAAGGAAGGGAGAAAGATCTGGGGCAAGCACTAAAGCCTGGTACACCCCAACACTCATTCACAGCCGCTACTATTTCAATCGGGGAAAGTATCATTTACTCACCTTAAGCCTGACTTGTTCATAAATAACGATGGGCCTGTTGCTGAAGGTAATGGCATTGCAGAAGCTAGCCTGGCGCTTCACTGCCTTCTGTGTCGTGTCCATGATGATCTGGGATCCCTTCGTGTGGGGATGGAAAAGCAGAGGGCTGATGGACAGAGCTCCACACTGTGGGATAGGGAGACAGTGCTTCTGCTTGTGGTGGCATCGGTGAGAGGAAGCTGGAAACGAGCCACCTATAGAATCTGAAAGCAGAATGGGGGAAAAAAGGATTTAAAATCTGCTGTGAATAGGAAGTAAAAAAAACTCTCAATGCAAAAGAGGGAAACTGCAGAGTGAAATGAAAGTTTGACACATCCCTCCTCTGTAAATCACTAAGTGTTTCTAGAGCATCTTAAAAGACTATGATGACACAGAAGGCTCCCATCTGGACAGTCTGACAGTGCAGAGCATAACATGGGGAACACAGCTCAGCACCTGAAATCACAGCCCATTCTGAGGCCACATGACAAAATGGAAATCAATAATCGATTCTGAAAAACGGGCCAGAGCTCATGTGAAGATGGTGTACCAAAGCTGTCACATTTAGGTGAAATATTCCATTTCTGGAGGGTTGCACCCCCCAACCCACACATGACCGTTCCCCTTGCTCCTCCTTTGCAAACACAGATCCACCAGTACTTGCCTCTATTTGCCTTTGGATGCTCCATATCCACCCGTCGCTAAGCACCAGCTCAAACACACGTACTGCAAACTTGTACTCAAGCATGACTCAGTGATAAACCCACCTGGATTCCTCCACCAGCCAGCATCCATCCTCCTCACACCTCCACTGATGGGAATCCCAGCTGAGATCCCAGTTTTCATGAAGTCATTGATCAGCATGCTAAGTTTAGGATGAGGAAAGTGGAGAGGGAGACAGGGTACAAGCAGGAAGGGGATTACGTCTTTGTCTAACCAAGACTCTATCCAAAAAGTCAACACACTATCAACACGGTCAGGGCAGCAGCTTTGTGCATGAATCAATGGATTCATGGCTTTCTTTTCAACGGGACATGCCTGCAGCAGCTAAACACAAAACAACCATTATACTGAATGCAAGTCATCTGCTTCCTTTTCCTCCTGTATACACACACACACACACACACACACACACACACACACACACACACACACACCACATTATGCACGTATGTTTGGGAGGAGATATTCACAGATTTGGAGGAAGAATATCAACACAATAAAGGATTATTTCAGGATAGCCTAAGGGATGCAATAAAAACAAATGTGACCTTAACAATGTGTCAGTTTGCTCTGAAAAGACGCATGACTAAATAGCATGTTTAAAACTCTTCCTCAAATGCACAAATTATATAGACTAACTTCTGTTAGTATTTATAAAACACATAAATAAATATATGGTTTATATATTCTTTATTCAAATTATTTGCTGATAGTTATGTCTTTATATAGCTACTATAGAATAATGCATACACCTCTAATATAATTCTTGGAGGTAAAAATATAAAGCCTGGACCCTCTTCCTCCCAACCTTTGGGGTTGTTTAAGGCTGTAGCTACACAAGGTTGCATGATCAGTCATCAGCGTGTGCTTGAACAAACACCAACAAAAGCCAAAACCCTATTTTCTGATGAGAACATTTTAACTCAGCTTCAACACCAGTCATCAATGCTTTCTCCTCTTGTCCCCTTGCTGTTTTACTTGTCATGCTTTCTGGAGTGACAGTGCTCTCCCTTCAGCACTGAGCAGCGAGGCCAGACAAAACAGGGCGGCTACCTTTAAAAATATTCACTAATGCTTTAAGGGAGAGATGAACCAGCTGAGACGGATCTGATGTTAAAAAAAAATCACGTGAAATATAAGTCACCTTCCTTCTCCTGTTCCTCACATGTGAGTGGGCGAGGGAGAAGGTTTCACAGCCGTAAGGCACAGGAAGCCAGGAGAAAATAAAGGCTGGCTGGAGTGGGCAGGGCCGTGGCAGGGACCTTCTGGACTAGCAGACCGCTGGGAAGGGGTGGGCTCGACACAGGCAAGGTCCAGGTGCAGCGGCCACCACGACCCTGGTCTTTCCCCTTTCGGAAGGCTACTGCTGCAAGGCAGCTCTCCTGCCTCCTTCCGTGGCCCACACGGGGCGTTTCGCAAGACAACCTGGAAAACTCTGCCACAGCCTCTTAGGAAGAACTTTCTGAGGTCATCTATGACATACTTCATTAGAAGCTGTCTAACGCCCTGAAGAACAAAAGGTTACATCCCTTCCCGTCTTGCTATCTTTCTCCCATACCAGGATAACCCCAGACACGTTTACCCTTGCAACCCTCCTGGGATCCTGCTGAGCCCTTGGCGTCAGTGATACCTTGTGCCGATGAGTTCCTCAGGCTTAATGGTGTTTTGCAAAGGAGTTTCTCCTTTATCACCGTAAACGTGATGTCGCAGCCATCACTATCACAAATGGTTACGAGCCAGAGCCAACACAAGTGCCTGACTTAACTCCCTCCACTGCACCCCCCCCAGGTGGTTTCCCTCTGGCCTTTAGGGACAAGACCGCTGACAGGGCTCTACCAGAGCAAATCGTCTCAGTCTGCCTTTTGCAGAAATGTCTCAGGCCACTAGCTCTCTCCATTGCTCATTTCTTAGCTGCCTCTCTGCTTTCGGCTCCATTTTTTTTTTAATAGGGAGAAGGGTTAAATGTAAACGTCCAGTAGAAAAACTTCCATTCCTAACTTTTCCAGCTCCTCTAAAATATATATGAAACAAATCACCGTTTCTGGTATCTCACATATTGATGGGATATAATCAATTATTTTTTATAATTTAAAGTCAAAGAATCCATAGCAAAGTAGGAAAAACTCTTTTCTGATCATTTCTAATTTTGTTTTTTCATCTGCCTCTCTCCCAGAGTTTTCAAGGGTGCACGCATGTGAAAGAAGATGCTAACAGGGAATACACATTCATTTCATGCTACCTATCCTGTCTGCCAGAAACAGCCTACATTAATTTCAGTGCATGACTTCAAAAAATCAGGGCTGTGTGGAGGCAGTTAGATCCAGCTTGGCAGAACTGGCTGTATGAAAAACAACACACAAAATCAAATAAAGCCTCAACTCCAGCGAATGCTGCTGCCAGCTGCCATGCCCACTCTCTAATGGGACCCAGCCTGCCCTCAGCTCCACGGCTGGGGACGAGGGCTCCTCTCATCTGTTGCTAGATCAGCTTCACGCCTGGAAATCACCATCCTTGCTTTGTCCTGGGTTTGCCTTGGGCATCTTTGGCAGAGCTACTCTCGCTAAAATTGTCTTTAGTAGCTGGTCACACACAAACTGGAAATGGAAATACTCGCCTCTCCAGGAGACAGCAGCACTCACAGAAACCATGAGACACCTATGCTTAGATTAGCTGAAGCGGCAAAGAAACAGTTATTGTGAGCTAAAAGCAAGGTAGCAGCGGCAGCGATCCCCAGCAGAGGTGGTGGCAAAGCTGTCACTGCTGCCATTCAGCAGAAGCAACAGCAAGGAAACGTAAAACCTGCCGAATGCAAGGGGCGAGCGCAAGCCAAGCAGCCTTTCTCCAGCTACTTCTAGCTACTGTCTAACACTGCGTGTTGTGTTCCAGGGAGAGCTACCACCAAGTTTAACAGCAACCCTCAAAAAGATTTTAAATCCTTTCGGTGGAAAATCTTTCATTTTCCATAGAAACACTTTGGTTGATAATAACAGTCGGGCCAAAAACTTCAGTGTGAACCTAAGTGACGCGTATAAATGGAAAAATTTTAGTTATAAACATGCTGGAACAATCGCAGGGACTAAAAGCCAAAGGAAAGTGAAGTTGACTCTCCTTCGGACCCACTTTGAATCTGGGGTTTTAGGCTGAAGCCACTAAAACTCTGGGTTTTCATGATCTCTTCTCCATGCTTGCAAACTACACCTCTTGATCCAGATCTGACTTTTGCAGCTCAAGCTTTTTGCTAGCAGTAATCACCAAGATAAACTGCTGTGGCAGAGGCACACACATTTTAACTTGTTTGCATACCCCAGGTGCTTTAATTTTACTGAATATCTTGGTTGTGATTATAACAACCGTAGGACTCTGTGCCCTTTAAAAACACCGTACTGGAGTGACCAAAACTGCTCACAACATTCGAGACAGGCTCCGATAACAACACCGCACATCTCCAGAGCAGCTGCTGCAGCAGCACCCCAGCGCCTTAGGCGCTGCGCGACCCCGCAGCAACAACAGCAGAAGAGCGCTTATTTGCCATGACAGTCCGCCACCAGCAAGTGAGAATGGGGACAATCCTGTCCCAGAAGCATGCCTGCAGGATGAGCACCCTGGGGCCACAGCTGAAACACAGGGCGCTCCCTCGGCGCTTTCTGCCAGAACAGGAGAAACCAGCCCAGGAAGAGCTTCCCAGGCAGGTAACGTGGGCAGGGAGGAGGCGCCCTGCCTGCTCCCAAACCATCTTGCTCCGCAACGGCTCCCGTACGATGCACATACTCCGGTAAGGGCTGAAAAAAGTCTTTGTTTAGAAAAAAAAAAAAAAAGTGCAACTAAATAAAAAATGGTTACGTGCCTTACAAATACCCTGGAGGAGTTGCAAAGCAATGGGTCGAACGTGAAGGCCTTTACTCAGCTCTTCCAGGGCAGCGCGCCCACTCTGGAAGATGGAAACGCTGCGCAACTCGAGCACAGCGGCACAAACGCCTACGGCTGGACTTCGGCAAGGAAAGGGCCGCTTCAGAAGCGCAAGCTCGTGAGCTACATCACTGTCCCGGCTTGGCAAGCTAAAAATGAAATAAATCCTCTGCTTACAGTCTTTGTTCACATTGAGGCTTGACTCAGACTCCAGTCTTCTCCCATTCCCTTATTTTAATTATTATTCTCAGCCTTTGTTACCAGTAACACTGATACGATACATTTAGGGCCCTTGCAGTGGGCTTACAACTATTTTTCTTCATGTAAAAGAATTGAGCGAAACTCACAAACTCAGATTTTCAGTTGGCAAAACAGACAAAAAGTCCTCCGATTTCAGAGGAACCACGTGAGACTGCATTAACTGAGTCTCTCCCAAACACTCTCTCCCACAACCTGACTTATCAGTCACCTGCAAAGGAGAAGGAAAGTGACTGCTCAGGAAGTACATTTGCAAACAAACAAGCACTTGAAAGGAGGTTGAAATCTGAGAGCTTGTTCAAGGGCACTGCAGGCTTCCCACTCCACAACAGGGCTG